TGCACTGTTCTTGTAAGTTTCACTTGTTTACACCATGGTTATACTTCCTGCACTTCCCCAGCCCATTAGATTCCCAGATAAGATCTAGGGAGTGTTATAAGGTCAAGCCTAATTATGCTAAGAGGACTGTGCCCTCCAAGCTAGGGCTTATTTGTGACTTTGCCAGCAAGTCAGTCGGAGGCTTAACCCTATATCAGTTTCCCACACCTGGGGTTTCTCTTTTTAATTGATTTTTCCGTGAGGCAATAGCAACCCCACCTTGGCTCACTTGTGTCACTGTGATTTTTATTTCTCAGTGAGTAATCTCTGTCCTGCCTAGTCTCTCCCCTGTTGCTTCTTCAGTCCTAAGCCCTTCCTTGTTTCACTGTTCCCAGCTTTAATAAACATACTCTCAAAAGCACCTAAACTTGTGCTGTGAAATCTTTCCTGCACAAAGTCAAGAATTCACACACTACAAGCTGGCCCAAGGCAGACCCACTCAGGGCCAGGTCCCTGTCTGAATAACAAAAGTAGGAGTAATTTTTCCATGCTTATTGTGTTCTTGCTGTCTGCACTTGGAACTATGGAGTCATTTGTAGGAGGGACTGGGTATATCCTCTTTGTGTTGATAAAAAAGAGACAACAGCCCAGCCAGTGTGGTTCAGTGAACTATGAACTAGGACAGTGATTCCTAAAGTGGGCGCTACCACCCCCTGGTGGGAGCTGCAGCGATCCAGGGTGGTGGTGATGGCCACAGGTGCATTTGTTTTAACTTTTTTTGTATTACCTTTCTATTCTGAGTTCAATAAATAGTTTCATAATTTCAAACTTCAATGTTTCTAATTGATACCTTTTTTTACTATATTTTACGAAAAAGGTAGAAACATTAATACATATATCTTTCTGTTTAATTGCTATTAAAATTTTTAAAAAATTAATTTCCAGGGGGCGCTGAGTAATATTTTTTCTGGAAAGGGGCGGTAGGCCAAATAAGTTTGGAAACCACTGAACTAGGAGGTCACAGTCTGATTCCTGGTCAGGCCACAAGACCGGGTTGCAGGCTTGATTCCCAGCCAATCAATCATACTCTCTCATCACTGATGTTCCTATCTCTCTCTTCTTCTCCCTAGAACAGCGGTTCTCAACCTGTGGGTTGCGACCCCTTTGGGGGTCGAACAACCCTTTCACAGGGGTCGCCTAAATACATCCTGCATATCAGATATTTACATTATGATTCATAACAGTGGGAAAATTACAGTTATGAAGTAGCAACAAAAATAATTTTATGGTTGGGGGTTACCATAACATGAGGAACTGTATTAAAGAGTCGCGGTATTAGGAAGGTTGAGAACCACTGCTCTAGAACCTCTCTGAAATCAATATATAAAATATATTTTTTAAAAAGAGAGACAACAGACCCAAAATGGAGTCATTTGTGCTAAGCTCCACATCACCAAATGGAGACTTAATTTCTAACTTAAGACAGCCTTCTCCAGAAGTGAATCATAAACAGTTAATCTGGAATTACCTGATGGGCACTAGTGAGGTCATCTGCCTGATAATTTCCTGCCATCCCCTAAAGAAAGGTGACCTTGCCACAAGCAACCAGCTCTTTGCTTGTATAACTTTCTGTCCCACCCCCTTCTGCCTATAAAAGTCTATCATTTTGTACAGCTTGTTGGAGATCCTTTCTATTTGCTAGATGGGATGCTGCTCAATTTGTGAATCCTTGAATAAAGCCAATAAGATCTTTAAAATTCACTCGGTTGAATTTTGTTTTTAACAGTGTCCTCTGCCACCTTAAAAGGTAGCAGAGCATGCCACCCAAAACTAGGCTTCTTGGCCTATGGATTATTTTGAGAAACAGCAGATACAACAGAAGTTCTGAAAACAGAGAAGTCACCCTTCTGTAGGGACATCTGTCTTTAGAAAGGAAATCTCCCCATGTAAGGTGTCTCCCTCTCTGCACCAGGAAGAAAAGGACCAGTCTAACTCACCAGGACTTCTCAATGGGGAGGAAGAGACTTACAGCTGCATAACCACCTTACCCTCTTGTATGTAGGATTACAACTAAAAACTCCACGTTTGAGATGCTAGGAATAGATACAGATTACCGGATAGTTTTAGGACTGAGAGCCAGTGGATTTCTGGCCCTTACTCCTTTTTTTTTTCTGTTCTCTGCGGCTCAAACTAACCTATCAAATACCTGGAGTTCACTAAATGATGTCCACAAATTCTTTCATTCCACAAACTTGTTTGTTTTTGCCAAGCACGTTCTAGGCATCGTTTTTTCTAACTAAACCATTCTAGAATTTAAAGTATTCCTGAGCAGCTCCTCCTGTATTTAGTAGCGAGTTGCGCTGTGTGCACCCTACTGCAGTTATTGCAGCCCTACACTCCAGAGGCTCAAGGCTGGGGATGGGGTGGGGGACATCAGTGATGCCCCTGAATCAAGTAGGAAATAGTACATGAGAGCAGATGACTAAATGTGAAAACGTATTCCAGGGCCTAAAATCTCTCTTGGTCCAGAGCCGCCTTCGCATCCGGGGCTGGGGCGGGGCTCGGCAGACGGGCGGGCTGCTGTGACCACCCTCTCAGCCTCAGCTCCGCCCCGCCCCGCTCCGCAGCGGCCACTTTAAGAACTGGAGCCGCGGGCGGACCGCTGGCGCTCACGTGACCCGGCAATCGCTCTCACTCACGGAAGTGGTCCTTCCTCTGCGGCCGGCGCGGGGTCCCCGGGCGCCAGGACTGGCTCACTGCGGTGGCCGGGATGGTGCAGTTGTATAATCTGCACCCATTCGGGTCGCAGCAGGTGGTGCCCTGCAAGCTGGAGCCCGAAAGGTTCTGTGGCGGGGGCCCCGATGCGCTGTTCGTGGCAGCGGGCTGCAAGGTGGAGGCGTTCGCCGTGGCCGGACAGGAGCTGTGCCAGCCGAGGTGCGCCTTCTCCACGCTGGGCCGGGTGCTGCGCCTGGTCTACAGCGAGGCCGGTGAGTAACGATGGTACCGTGGCGCCTTGGGGCCTCCGTCAGTCTACCGAGCGTCTGGAGGCAGGCCTGGGAGGGAAAGGGTCTTCGTGCTTCCGGGAACTTGCCGGAAGCTTGGGTAGTGGGGCGGCTGATGACTGAAAATACGCTGAGCTGTGCTGTTGTCCTGGCAACGATTGGTGAGAGCCTGCTTTTAGAGGGCGGGGGATTCTGACTGCTCCTCCTCATCTTCCCCTAGTCCAGTGGTTGGCAAACTCATTAGTCAACAGAGCCAAATATTAACAGTACAACGATTGAAATTTCTTTTGAGAGCCAAATTTTTTAAATTAAACTATATAGGTAGGTACGTTGTTATTAACTTAATTAGGGTTCTCCTAAGCTGGCCTTTGCTAAAAACGTCCTCAGTCTGATTGAGGTATGTTTGCTGAGGTCGACCCCTTCCACCTCTCCCATCCACACTCGTCTTGTATACTTGTTTCCTCTATCTCCTTTCGTTCATCCTGTCTATATGTCCAAACCATCTCAACATACCTTTCTCAATCCTCGACACTACATCTTGTTTCACTCCACAACGTTCCCTAAAATTAACTTAATAAACTTTACTTTTGTCACCCTTGCACTATTTGCGGACGCTTCTGGCACTAACCACTGCACAACGAGACTGCTGACTGACTGGCTCACTCAACTCCTGCATGAATCTCCTGCGCCTCTCCCGCGCTGTGTATCCCTTGGCCTGCCTGTGCCCTGTCTCCCATCGCCCAACCAACCGACACACCTCCCCCCCACTTCTTCTAACGCCACTTCTTCAAAATAGACTCGCCCAGTCCGAAAACTGACTTCTGCGCATGGGCCACGATGTTTCAATCGCACTGTACGTGTGTGCCCGCAAGTGGTATTTTGTGGAAGAGCCACACTCAAGGGACCAAAGAGCCGCATGTGGCTCGCTAGCCACGGAAAAAAACAAAATGGGAACAAATACAATATTTGTATTTGCATGTGGCCTGAGGGCCGTAGTTTGAGGACCCCTGCCCTAGTCAGTAAAGCCTGTGGTTGGGTAACTGGGTTCCACTCACTGTAAGAAACCCAGGCACTTAAAAAAATAACAACAAACACACACATTTCAAACACAGACAAAAGTAGGGAGAATAGTAACCTGAGACCCCAGGTACTCCCAGCTTCAACAATTAGGCCAACTCATGGCAAGCCCTGTTACACCCATACCTATATCCACTGTCGATTTTTGAAAGCTCACATTGTATGATGATTTTAAAATCTATATATGTGGAACTCCCCTGCTGGAAGCCGGTCCATCCTTGCTGCTTGACACAGTTGCTGCAGGGAAGAAACATCTGCACAGCATATGTTTAAAGGGACCTGGCCAATATGGCATACTGTTCTTAATGATTACTCCCCTACTTAGCGCTGTGTTTTAACCAAGGTCACCTCTCCGGGAAAGGTTGTTTCCCCAGGTGGGGATTTTTCCCTGGAGTTAGGGATTAACAGGACTAAGAAAGGGAATAAATCAGTAAAACCCCTTAACTAAGTGCCAGGTGGGTAGTTAATCACTTTAACTAGGAACTCGAAGGCTTAAACTACATTATCTTTACTTAGGATACTCTCCTTCAGTTACTTCCTTGTAGCTTAACAGAACAATAGAGTAGTGACCTTGGAATGGAGATAACAAACACCCTAACCTTTGGAATAGAATGGATAGGATTAAAATCAACTGGTATAAATACAGATATAACAGGAGAATAAAGACAGAACCTGGCTGGAGAACCTAACTACAGAACCTGGCTAGGCTGCTGATCAACTGAACACTGTCTGTGTCATTTCTTCTTTGCTGACTTCGTCCACACCTTTGGGAACCCTTGGACCTGCTGGGGTTGGACCCCAACACTCCCCTCTTTGAATGCCCATCCATCCCCACACTCTTACCCTGTCCCCAACCCCACCCCTGCCTCCAAACAGCTTAGCAGCATCCGCTATTATTTTTCCACCAGAAAATTGAAGTGTACCAGGGGGCACTGTGTGTGTGTGTATATCCCTATTTTAGAAAACTCCAATATTTAATAATAGGTACTTAAGATTGCAAAAAGATTCAACATAGGATTTTAAAAAACTGTCTAAAAAATACACTTAAAATTCGATTCCTCCTTTTCCAGAGGGGTGTAAAGGTGTAAATATTAGTATTACAGTGGAACCACTTCCGTTATTAATGAAGTGCAGAGCATCTAGTCCAGGGGTGGGCAAACTTTTTGACTCGAGGGCCACAATGGGTTCTTAAACTGGACTGGAGGGCCGGAACAAAAGCATGGATGGAGTGTTTGTGTGAACTAATATAAATTCAAAGTAAACATCATTACATAAAAGGGTACGGTCTTTTTTTTTTTTTTTTTTTAGTTTTTTTCATTTCAAACGGGCCGGATCTGGCCCGCAGGCCGTAGTTTGCCCACGGCTGATCTAGTCCCTTCTCTGTCTGCAGGTGTGAGTTCATTGAAACTTTTGGATCTCAGTTTCAGTTAAAAAAATAAAACAGTTGAATCGCTAGATCAGTGATTTCCAGGCACTGGGATTTTGTGGATCAGTAAAAAACTGAGGCTGCCAAACATAGTATCTGTTCATTTTATCAACTAAATATATATATTTTTAAAAATGAAGAGTCCTTATATTTACTGCCACCATTATTTATAAAAGTAAAAACAGCCCCAAATGTTGGATGTCTTTGCTTTATGATCAACTTACTACACTGTAATTAGTTTTTCATTTTGACTAGTGAAGACATCAACAGGGGCCTGTAATGGTTCATGGACCTGTTTGAACATTTTTAGATCTGTAAGTTCTCTTTTAGCAGAAGATTCTGATTTAGGTATTTCTTATGAAATCAGTTTCAGTCGTTTCACAATATTGGTGGTTTTTCTCACCCAACCCCCTTTTAGGCACAGGAGTTCTCACCTGAAGAGCTCTACTGAGAGCCAAATTCACCAATTTCAACTTTACTGTGTGTGTGTGTGTGAGAGAGAGAGAGAGAGAGAGAAAGAGAGAGAGAGAGAGAGAGAGAAGCAATACACTGTTTACATTATTTGCTCCATTCTTCCAAATGGACATTTATTCTAGAATTGAAAGTGGCAGGCATTTTATAAACTTTAAACTTTCTTGACTGTCAGTAGTGGTGATTCTAGGGATCCTTGGCACCTAAGAATTACCTGGAGGAAGTTTTAAAAAATACCGTTAATATAAGAAACATTCAAACCTGTAAAGAACTTTATGAGTTTATTTGAGCCAAACTGTCAACAATTGCTGGGAAGCAGAATCTCAGGTATTGAGATAATGCTCTGGATAATGGTGGTTTTTCACCTTGTTTCATACATTGCAATCAAAGGAGGAGACATAAGTGGGTTCCATGAAATCCATTGGTGATTGATTAGAGAGGCAGGAGAAATTAAAAGGCGGTTAGGGGAGGAAAACTCTGGGATTGGATAAAAAGTAAAATGATAGACACATGCTTCTTTTACTTTTTTAAAAAATATATTTTTATTGATTTCAGAGAGGAAGGGAGTGGGAGAGATAGAAACATAAGTGATGAGAGAGAATCATGGATCTGCTGCCTCCTGCACGCCCCCTACTAGGGATGGGGCCCACAATCCCTAGCATGTGCCCTTGACCGGAATTGAACCCAGGACCCTTCAGTCCGCAGGCTGATTGTCTATCCACTGAGCCAAACCAGCTAGGGCACATGCTTCTTTTACATAGGTGGGAAAGGATAGTCAGTTAACAATCAACAATTAATGATAACAATAACAATGAGGGAGTTTGTGGTCTCCACCTTGGAGCCTTGGCACATTGGTTGTGCCCTGAGGGGTCTGGAAAAAGAGAAGTTACAAGTTACCCTGACATTCCACAGGTATGTTATCTAGGTGCAAAAAGACGATAGGCTCAGTAAAAATTGAAGTTGATCTTTGCCAGGAAAGATATTGGCCTAGGACAGTGATCGGCAAACTGCGGCTTGCAAGCCACGTGAGGCTCTTTGGCCCCTTGAGTGTGGCCATGAAGTTTCAATTGCACTGTTACGTGTGCGCCCCTACGTGGTATTTTGTGGAAGAGCCACACTCAAGGGGCCGCAGTTTGCTGACCACTGGCCTAGGACATGACTACCCACCATAGATTGCTGGGAAGATACCTAGGACAAGACTTTTTACCATAGACTGCTTTTTAACTAAAGTTTTAATTTCAGACCATCCTTTGTGGTTACTTTATTTATTTTTAAAATTTTTTTCTTTGTGGTTACTTTTGGTTTCTTGAGTTTGCAAGGTTGCCACGCAGGTCTTTCCTGAGCTAGTCAGGTTAGCATGTGGCCCCTTTTCGTCCACAATACCAATGCCTGGACCACAGCCTCAAAAACCAGTGTCAGTTTTCTGAGGTGTGGCCCAGCATTGGGGTAGTCTAATATTTAGCCAGGATTGAGAACCACTGGGCCTAGAGCCATACTGGCTACTGTGGGCAGTGAGTAGGATGGTGACCTCATTAATGAGGCCTTGAAATCAAAGATGTTTTTATAATCTGGTTGCTGTCTTAAAGGAAGTTCAGGAGTCATGTGGAATGTATTAGCATGGGTTATATGGTTCAAGGGTAACTTTCAGTTCTCGCTTGAACCTCAACCGCTGGGTACAGCTTCTATTAGTCTACACATAGCTAACTCCTAGTTATGCGGATATCCAGGTAACTTGTCTTCCATGTCTCAGCTTTTACTTTTTGGTGTTCTTTCCTCCCATTCACAGTAACTTGGACATGAGGGAATTTATGCTCTAAGCACCCAGTGTCTTCCTCTGTAGGCAAATCCCCCATCAAAAACAGAA